ATTTTTGGACGACGCCTCTCTGTGGTTGCATTTAGCAAAATCATTTTGGCGGGAAAGCAAAACTGTCCAATCTATACTCTGTAATCTGTGGTGTATGTGCCGTATATACTATCTACCCTTTGAGGTTTGAATTTTAGTTTCTACCTGCTTTGTTTCAGTCGACAGGAATTTAGTTCGCCACTCGTTGGCCATTAATATGAGCTTCAATGTTAATGAAATCAACGTTCGCACACAAACCCAATTAAAACTGCGTTCCATTCGATTTGCTCTTTGAAGAGAGGTGCCTTATGCCGTAAATTATGCAATATTTGTTAACGGTTTGCCATTTATAGACCGAACTGGCCTGTTTGAGTGGCTGAAAGCGATATCGGCAGACAAAAGGTGTTTATCTTGACACCGCTTAATTAAAATTACTCGGAAAAACGGGTCTAACATCATTCATATGCAACAGCCAGAAGAATCGTACGCTTGCAATGTCGCAGCTTTTCGAGCGAATTCTTGGCTTATCCCAATGGGGATCGGATTGATTGACATGTCAAGCGGCACACCCAAGAATCTATTGCTTCCATTAGGTTTCCAGTAGAGAAAAGTGGTCCAATTGGTACCCGGAGTTGCATCAGCTCGAATGGCTGACGAATTATCGGGCCAATTGATCAAACGGTCCCAAAGGCTGGCTATTCGGTTGCATAATCTGGGTACCATTAAGTCATTCATCTCTTCGGCATTCCCAAATGAGCGCAAGCAACCTTGCTAGGTGAACGATACCAACAGATGCGGTTGTAATTTGTAATGGTGAAAAGTGAACGGATTCAGTGTGTTTATGTGTAACAGGGACGCACACCAAACTGGTATTTGTGGCCCAGTGTTGGTTCATTTGGTAAAAATCGTGCATTATTTCGCTTTCTGCGTGCTTTGATTGAGTCAGGAGCAAATTTTTGAAATTATAAGAACAGAAAGAACAGAAACACAGAAGAACAAAAAGAAGGAACCATGAGTCTCACTGCGTGCTGGTGCTGTACGATCGAAAGAACGGCTGGCTCGAAGTCCGGTTTCATTGTCTTCGGCAGGCAAAGAATGGCCTTTACTCCTATGGGTTGTGAAATAACGGATAGTGGAGTAAACGATACCGCACATGAAGAATGTTGTCCGCATAATAACTACACCAAATTACATCATACACGGCCTGCTTGCTAATGTAGGCGGTCCGATTTTCTTCGGGTTTTTTGTCCGACAAACTAGACATTTTATTTACAAAGTGACCCAATTAAGAACCTGCATTTAAATCATCCATTTGCGCCAAATGACGAAATCGACTTACACCAACCAACCGACCAACCACATTAGTTGCATTAATGAATTATCGAAGTGGTTGTTTGTTGGCACAGCCACGCCCTGTTCGTCCTCTGCCAAATGCCATCAGATGCTGATTTTTGCGCCTTTTGTAAATATTCATCTAAAAAATGTTCACTCAAAAATTCGTCACTTCCAACCTAGAGCGAGGAGCAACTTAAAACTTTCACATTAGATAGAAGGCACTTTCACTTAAAAACTTTCAGAAATTTGTTCAAATTAGGCCATATGCTGATTTTTCGCCCTTTGTGAATGTTCCTATAAAAATTCAGGTTTTTACACAACTGCAGATTCATCATTAAAAAATCGTTACTTCCAACCTAGACCGAGTAGCAACTTGAAACTTTCACATTAAATAGAAAACACTTTCACCTAAAAACCCTCAGGAATTTGTTCAAATTAGGCCTGATGCTGATTTCGCGCCCTTTGCGAATATTCATATAAAAATTCAGGTATTTACACAACTGCAGACTCATCATTAAAAATTCGTTAATTCCAACCTAGAGCGAGTAGCAACTTGAAAGTTTCAGTTTAGATAAACCTTCGTAAATTGTATTCAAATGCCGTCAGATGCTCATTTTTGCGCCGTTTGTAAATGTTCATCTAAAAACTTAGGTTTTCACACAGCTACAGACTTCATTAAAAATTTGTTAATTCCAATCTAGAGCGAGTAGCAACTTGAAACTTTCACATTAGATAGAAGAAACTTTCACCTAAAAACCCTCATAAATTTGTTCAAATTAGTCCAGATGCTGATTTTGCGCCCTTTGCGAATATGCATATAAAAATTCAGGTTTTTACACAACTGCAGATTCATCATTAAAAATTCGTTAATTCCAACCTAGAGCGAGTAGCAACTTGAAACTTTCAAATTAGATAAGATACTTGCATCTGAAAACCTTAAGAATTTCATTGAAATAAATTCGAATGCTAATTTTAGCTTTTTCGCCACATTCCAATAAAAAATGCCGGCCTCTACCATAGAGCATGTAGTAACTTGAAATGTTCACAAACTATAAAAGAGACTCGACTCTTAAACCTCCGAGAAGGTTATTCGTATAAGTTGCCGATTTTAGTACTGTTTCGGAATGTTGATCCAAAAACTAGGATTTTTTACGCAACTGCAACCTCTTCAATAAAAATTCGTAGCTTCTAATTTCGAACGAGCAGCAACTTGATACTTTCACATCTTGAATGTGAAACCTCTAAAAATTTTATTTAGATCGTATATTTATACGTCTTTTGCAAATGTTGGTCGAAAAATTAACGTTTCACGGAAATACCACACACTTTTCTAATAAAAAGTTCAGTCTACCAAAGACACTTGAAACTAAAAAAAGTTCTTGTAAAGCGCCTCAGAAGCAATTTTTTGTGCTTTTTGCAAATGGTGCAATCGTTCATATCACCGGATAGTTTGGTTGAAAAGGTGAATATAACCAAAGCAGCATAAAATTGAGTAAGTTACAACTTTCTAGAACGGATGTTCTAAATAATAAGCTGAGAAAAATGGTCATTTCTTCAACAATTGTCATCCTTCAAGTTACTAATATCTGATTTTTTTAGGAAGCAGGAATTAACTCAAATGAAAAGCGACATGTAAGTAGCAATTTTGTAACCATTTCACACGCTAATCAATCAAATAATGGAAAATCCATTAACTTTCCCATCTTTCACGTGTACTAAACTGGTAGTACTTTTACGTGTATGGGATCAAACTTATTGGGAATTTTTCTATTTTCTATGGCCTTACATGAGGATTTCATTCAATTTGGATTTAGTAGATTTAATTGCGCGCTACTAATCGGTCCGTTATTTTTCCATCGAAAATAACACCCTTACAAGACCGATTTTCCTCACAAGTGTTTTTGCCAAAACATTTCGCTCACGATCCGCTGTCCCTCGGAAACTGGGGCATAAATTTCGACATCGTCGCAATTTAATCCCCGCCTCCCGGACACTTCATAAGTTGTTTTTTTTCGTTCGCATGGCAAAACTACTCTAGCTGATGGCCGATATTCTTCAACATTGAAAACCACATCAGTTTTTATGGTAAACTGCAGCCTTGCCGATCTTTTGGTAATTAGAGCGTCGCAACTCGCGTAAAAGTAGTTTTCCGGCGACTTAATGTTAAGGCCATCGATATGGATTTGTTTGTCTTCCTGTTTTTTTTCACAACTGACCAATCACGGAAGCCAAACTGGATGGCTAAATGCCACGTCATTTGCATACGCCCATCCCAGTTTGAAATGTTTTTAACTATCTAAGAAGCAAACGCTTCAAGTGGCTTACATAAGCCAATCATAGTAAACCCAAACAAAGGAGATCGAAAGGATTCAAGCAGCAGCGTCTTTGATGAGAAGTTGCGTTCGTTGCAAAACGGCTGTGAAAGTTGGCCAAAATGTGAAAGGTTCCGTCGCGTTGTGTAAGTAGTCTACTAGTAGTATTATCCAGTGCCATACTGAATACACAATTTGCAGTTGAAACCGCCAAATGGTGCTCGTTGAGAAATCATCTTCGGCGACATTGGAACCAGCGCTTAATTAAATGCAACATTCTCAGCGATACACATCGCTGTTTGTAACCTTGTAGCGCAATTTCGCTGTCCAATTGCTTGCACAACTTGCTGGCTGATAAACCAGTCTTTTGCATGTCGGGGCTGGTTGCAAGAGACCGCTGATTGATGGTTGCACGTTAAACTAATCGGTCAGCCGGCGGCGTTTGATGGTGGTTTGAATGCACAAGCAATACACCACAAGTGACATATTTCAGGTTGAAAATCGCGTGAGAATTGAGGAAGTTATGCGACTTACAGTGGATATGCAGTGCACCCTTAACATTTTCTGGTAACCGCATTGTATGGTATTGGATTTTTATGACGAAAGTTGCGTTCGAAAGTGGAGGAATTTTGCTTAATGTCGTTTTTTTAATTTTTGGATTCCCAAAAAGAACACGCGAGGGGAAAGGACTTGTTTTTTTTGTTGCCTAAAGGGGACTTTGAGCAATGAAAATCTGTATAAAATGGGCGAAGAAAAAATCGCACAGGGCAGTGCTTAGCAGCTGAGAAGCGCACTGGATTTTGTTGCATTTTTATGGAGAAACTTGCGTTGGAACGCCCGGAAATTTTGTTCAAAGGTCCCTATATTTGCTAAAAAAATGTGATTTTTAAGACCAAGAAAAGTGCCTAAACAAGTCTCTATAAAGCGCACTTTTGACTTAATAAAGATTAAATTGGCCAAATTGTGAGCAACAAAAATAGTTTATGGTAGTGTCCAAAGAACACTGTATCTAGTCCGTAAGAAATCGGCTGAAAAACATCCACGTTCCGAGCAAAAGGACAAGCTAGATGCATCTGATCTTCGACGACCTCAAAGTGAGCTTCAAACAATGGCATTTTGATGGCTAAAAAAGGTACCTTAAACGGGGCTTTGCTTTTTTTACACTGTCTAAACATAGTGCATGGGCTGAAGAGGTGAAGACCAGTTGGCTTCTGCTGTCGATTGCTTGGTAACTGTGCGAATAACTGCTGTGACAATTGGCTTGAAAAATACTAATAAATGGCAGTTTTGAATTGAAAATCCCCGCAAAGTTGAGACTGTGAGAAAAATAATAGAAGCGCGCACGATAGTGCTGACTTATCTTCTGAGAAGCCCCCTGAACCTAGTGCCTCGAAAACTGGAAGTGTTGGCTAAAAAATGCCTTTTAGGCTTTAGGACACTGTGTTGAGTTGTTGCCGCTCTCTGAGTTAGCGAGTAACTCATCGGTTAATGAATTATAAGTGATTGATTAAAGCTTTACGAGACCCGAGACTGGAATTTTCACATCTAAAAAAATGTCAATAACCTTTTGTCTGAGCAGCGTTTTACTACTTTGTTCCAGGAACCCGGACCGGAACCGATCTGGACCGAAAACCGGAACGGAACCGTTTTTTTTTGGACCGGAACTGTAACGGAACCCATATTTGATATTAACACACTGTTAGGTGCTGAACCCGAACCGAAATATTTTATTTCGGTTTTTTCGGTGTTATTTCAGTTCTGCTTGTAACGTTTGAAAGAAATTACTGTACATTTTACAAGCAAATGAAAATAATCATTTATCTTCCTGCAAATGAATATAAAATTACGTTTCTGTGTTCTGGTGGGCGGCGGTGTTCTATTAATGTGCCGACAAAGGGTCGGCACTTCTTTTAGTTAGTTAAAAACTTTTAGAGGAACAATTATTTGTGAGCACCAACCGACTTTTCAATCGAGAAGAACAAACACCGTACACTATTTTTAAAAAATTTTTTTAAGTAGAATTATTTTAGTTTTTCGATTACCAACAAAGCAACATTCGAAATTGAAATGTTGGACAAAAGCAACTCCTTAAAAGATGGCGAAGACATGAACCAGGAAGAACAATGTTTAAACGGAGATAAGAGTGAAAGAAGAGAACTTGACGAAGTTGTGGACCTGAGTGAAAACGGAAAGAAGAGAAAAGCGCTAAAGTCAGAAAATTCATTGACAAATTACTTTTCAAAAATACAACGATTAAATTAGTTTTTGTATGGGAGTCTTTATTGCAATGTTGTTCCATTTAATGTTACCTGAATTTCAATCCTTGTGTGGGGTTGCTAGTCCTTCTACACTCCCTACCATACAACCAGCCGAAGTACCGTATGAAGCAGTGGATCGTTTGCGCATCTTTTATCTTGTATTATACAACAAACAAGGAAAAAGATAGTGAGATTCCTAATTAGAGTAACTTTGTCCTCGTTCGTTGTTATATGTGGATTGTGGAACAGAAATGAACCGAAAAAGAACCGGAACCGTAACGGAACCGAAATTTTAAATTTTGCCTTGGACCGAATCCGGAACGGAACAGTTATTTCGTTTCGGTCCGGGTCCTTGCTTTCTTCAAACAACTAAAAAAAGTCATCTAGATTTTCTCAGCAACAGAACTGAGTCCAAAGAAAGTCGACGAGTTTTCTTGTAAAATCGATCTCGTTATTTTTTTGCATAAAAGATTCAGTTTGCCAGTATTTTACAGTAAAACGTTAGGAAAACGTGGTTTTTCTGTTTAGAGACTGTGTTGTTTAGAAATATTGACCTAAAAGTGAAGAAACCCCAGTTTCCATGAGTTTTAAAAATAAATTATTATCAACTTTCGCTTTTCCAGTTCAGTTAAATGTTTTTGGAAAAAATCCCTGAAATAATTATTAGGATTTTGTTCATAATTCGAAGCTGCAAAAACGTTTTATTAACGTTTTCCTGCCGTTGTTCCTCCGTAGGCATCTCATGTTTTTATTATTTTCGATTGCATTTTCTACTTCTGTTATGTAGTTTCCTTCCAATCCTTGCGTACCATTTTTCTTGCTTCTCTTCTGAATTCGCGGTATTCTTCTGTGTTTTGTTTGCCTTTGCCGTACAAGGTCCTTCTTTTTTCTATCAGCTGAATCGTTTCCGCTCTTAGTTTGTTTATTATTCTCGTTTTCTTTTTTGCGATATTGAGTGCTGTTTCTTTAATTATCGTTGTTAGGTATGTTGCCACTTCATTTATATTTGTTGGACTTATATTTTCGATTCATTTGGCTCTCAATTCGTTTTGGTATATGATATTGTTTTCTTTCAGAGTGCTGCTATCTATTGAGTCTGTGTTGTGTTCAATATATCTTTTCGGCTTCTGTTTGGATAATTTAGCTCTGACTATCCGGTGGTCGGTTCCTGTGTTGAAACAGTTTACTACTGAGATGTCGGTGGCAATTTTTTTGGAGTCGACAATTTTTGTAATTTGGAACACGCGAATTTCTAAAGAACAGAGCGCAGTTGAGTAAAAATTAATTTAGAGATTTTCTCAACTGAGAACAGAACTGAAAATTTCTAATAATTTTCCTGGAATTTATTTCGTCTGTAAAGTAAAGTGTCTTCTAACGATAGCGAAAATTTAAAATTGCTACTAGATTCACATCTAAAATTTTCACATCTGAAAAAAAGGTCAACATTTTTTCTGACGTTTTATTACTTTTTTTACTACAAAAAAGTCATCTAGATTTTATTAAAATCGATCTTTTACTTTTTTTGCATAAAAGATTCAGTTTGCCAGTATTTTACAGTAAAACGTTAGAAAAAACGCTGTTTTTCTGTTTAGAGACAGTGTTGTTTAGAAATATTGACCTAAAAGTGAAGAAACGTTAGTTTCAAAGAGTTTTCCAAATAAATAATTTTAAACTTTCGCTTTTACAGTTCGGACAAAAATAATGATTATGGTTTTGTCCGTAATTTGAAGCTGCAAAAAGTTTTCCCAAATTTTGTTTGCAAAGTGGTTAAGGAGGCGAGTGTTCCAATAAAATTTCTTTTATAATTTTTACAGAAAATATCTGAAGCTTGTCAGTATTTTAAGTGAAACTAAAAAATGATGCGATTTTTGCGTCGAAAGAATTGCTTAATAGAAACTTTGTTAAAACTGGAATGACATGAAAATTTAAACGAACTTTAAAAATCTTCAGAGCGATGAAGACGGCGAATTTTCCAAAAACTTTTTTGAAAAGTTTTACTCTCTGGTCGTTTTTTCAAGAACATCCTAATTACTTTCGGTGAAAAACTGAATAAAATTATTTGGTTTTTGTGTCAAATTCAAAGCTGAAACAGGTTTTCTAAAGTTTCCTGCAAATCGATGAATGAGGCGAATTTTCGCGTGTGAAAAACGAAACGTGTTTGTAAAATTACAAAGCTATAAATTTATCGTGTAATTTTTTGCGTAAAAGACCTCCTGATCGTCAGTATTTTTAAGCAAAACTCTTCAGAATAGAGCGTTTTTGAGTAAACCAAAAAAATCAGTCAACACTAAAAACCACACTGGAACGGCATTTGTTGACTTTTTACAAAGCGGCGAAAGATTCGAAATGTACTTCACAATTTTTCGCGAAAACTTGAGCATTTAGAAGAACGAACAACTGAAATTTTGAAGAAATTTTAAAAATGTTATTAATAAATGACCTTTAAAATGAATGCGCTGGGCCGGCGCACCAAGCAATTTGCGTTACACTGCGCCAACATCTAAAAGTTCACTGAGTTACCCAGGCCTACCCGAAAACGCTACAAAACCATTCCCAAATCATCCTACCTCCAGCTTAACATCTCAATTCCTCTTCAGGAACACCGAAGGTTTATCTGCAGCGTACTCTTGTATGAGCAATGTGGTTCACTCACTCCGATCGATCACTGGGCGGTCACCAGCGGCGAGCAAAAAACTGTTTCTTCAGCGTCAGTCGGCAATCGACTGGCCGTCCACCCGCCGCCGAAGAATCAAAGAAAACCCCCCAAACGTGCCGCCCTACTAGAACGCTACCGATCATGGCCTTTGGTCCAAAACACCTTCGGCGGGTTGCGACATCGACTTAATCGCATCCTCGTGAACTGAATCCAGTCCGGCCGAAAGTAAGAGCCGAAAAACACCCAGCTGGTATGTCGTCGGCTGGTGATTAATCGCTGTTAGCGGGCTTTGGTGTCTTTCATTATGCAACCGTTCAATTGAAGAAACTGATGGAGAGTAAAACGGTAAAAACGTTATGTAACGATCGAAGAAGATTGAAGAATATTCAGTGCACAGTTTCACCAGGAAATGGTTAGGAATTTGGGTCCTCCTAAGTGCCATGGGATCTTTTTAAACGTTTTCTTCCTCAGCGGTTTCTAATGCCGCAAAGGGAAGTTGTCAATTTACTGGTACCTGGATGGAATAATTGATTCTTTGACCCCATTGGCCTTCGCAGGCGCTGCTTTCTGGGCCATGCGGCAAATTACTTTTCTACATCGCGCCTCATTGGAATGCCGGCAAAACACAACTTGTTCACTGCTTCTATTCATTACACTTAACCATACATCTACTATCACATAAGATATTGAACACCAAGGATGCCAATGGTAAAAAAATCCATGCGTATGTACACTCGTAGCTAATTAAGTAAATGCGGGGCTTGCGGGCTTCTTCAGAACTTCTTCACTTCGTCGCTCTCGCTGATAAAGGCCTGGTTGCAAACACCCCCGAACGCCACGTTGTTTTTCTCCAAAGTTCTGAAGCCGTTCAACACCGGAGAGCCCAGTTGGACCTGTTTGGGCGTTATCGTAAACACGGCCGTTTCCGCCAGGCTGTTGTCCTTTTGACCAGAAGTGCGTTCTTTGTCCGGATATCCATTTAGAGCCTTCGCGTCCCTCTTGTGCTGTACGTAGAACCACCTGGAACCAAGTATAATTCTGGTCCACCATTTGAAGACTATTGCTTTAAACATACCCGAAAATCACCACGGCGGGCACCGTCAAGACGCCGCCCAGGATGAAAAACGCCCCCGGCATGCTGTTGATGGTTGAGGCGTAAGTAGCGCTGTACATGGGACCGTAGAGGAGCGGCATCAGGGCTTCGCAAGCTCCGAATAGGGAGTTCAGTTTGCCTGCAACCAACCGGATTTTCAGTTTTTTAAATTGGCGCAAACACACGCGTTATGTGTGCGGAAGTGTGGGCGCAAGCCTAAAATCTCATTCCTGTTTAACATCCTTTGGGAATCTCCTACGAGTTGGGATGCACACAATAGGTGGACTAAATAAACTTTGTCTGCATCGTAAATGCCGGTCTCAAAATGAAGGTTTGTATACAAATGCTCTCCATCCTTAAAAAAATCGCAATCTTTAAGCTAAAGCGAGAAGCAAATTTAAATTTTTACAATTCTTGGAAAGTCTTTCGAAATTTTCAGTTTTATCAGCTTCGTAAATGTGGGTGTTATAATGGATGTTTTTACTTAACTGCGCTAAGTATTTTCAAAAATCGCATTTTTTAAGCTAAAGCTAAATTGCGAGTAGCAATCTGAAAGTTTCATCACCGATAGCAGAGGGTTTCAGAGGGACTCAAAATTATCAGCTTTTTTAAATTGGTAAATTTAATCATCATCTCAGTTCTAAACTCTTTCAACACAGGAACCGACCACCGGATCGTCAGAGCTAAATTATGCAAACAGAAGACGAAAAGATATATTGAACACAACACAGACTCAATAGATAGCAGCACTCTGAAAGAAAACAATATCATATACTAAAACGAATTGAGAGCCAAATGAAGCGAAAATATAAGTCCAACAAACATAAATGAAGTGGCAACATACCTAACAACTATAATTAAAGAAACAGCACTCAATATCGCAAAAAAGTAAACGAGAATAACAAACGAACTAAGAGCAGAAACGATTCAGCTGATAGGAAAAAGAAGGACCTTGTACGGCAAAGGCAAACAAAACACAGAAGAAAACCGCAAAATCAGAAGAAAAGCAAAAAAAATGATACGCAAGGATTGGAAGGAAACTACATAACAGAAGTAGAAAATGTAATCGAAAATAATAAAAACATGAGATGCTTACGGAGGAACAACGGCAGGAAAGAGTTAATAGCCCTAAACGATTTCATTCACCGGGAAACCAGATATAAGAAGAAAATACTAAAGATCACCAAGGAATTTTACCAAGACCTATACACATCACAACTAAAGAAACCAGAAAAAATTACATTTAAGAAAGTGAGAAATGGGGGTCGGACGACATCCCCGAAATAACAGAGGAGGAAATACAACATGCTCTTAAAACATCAAAATATCGCAGGGCCCTTGGAGGCGACGGCATAGTGATAGAAATGATCAAGGAGGCAGAAGAAACAATGATTCCCAAGCTAAAGAGACTTCTCAACACTTTGAGTTTTGAAAGCTTTGAAACCCAAGAAATACCTGAAACCTGGAACGAATCCATAATCATCCTACTCTACAAGAAAGGAGACCCGACACTTCTTCTGAATCTTCTTCGGCGAATTTGTTTGCTTTCACCCATCTATAAATTGTTCAAGAGAATCATCGTTAACAGAATCAGTAGCAACCTTGATTACCATCAACCTGTAGAACAGGCGGCATTTAGAAAGGACTTCAGCACATGCGATCATCTCTTGACCTTCAAAATCCTAAATGAGGAAATGACAGAATACAACATGCCATTATACACAGCCTTCATAGTTTACGAGAAGGCCTTCGATTATATTGAACATTGGGCAATTCTAAGTGAGCCCGTGTCGACCATAGATACATACACAAACATACTGGAGAGAGATTCACAAAAACGCGAAAGCGGCAGTGAGAATACAGTTGGACTGGTCAGAAGAGGCAGTCATCATCGACGACGAGAAATTAATACATCTCAGATGCGCAGACGACATAGTCCTGTTAGCCAACAACGCTGAACACCTGGAAAAACTGATTACAGATCTGAACCGAAAATCAAAGGAAATAGGCCTCAAAATCAATATGCATAAAACCACAACTATATGTTCGATGGATCCCAGTATCATAATAGACAACAACAAAAGAGAGAATGTAACGACTCTACATACTTACATACTACGGCCAACGAATAACTCTTTGGAAAGGAAAGCAAAGATATCGAGATCGAAAGGAGAATTAGAATAGAATGGGCGGCTTTCGAAAAACTAAAAAATATACTCACCAACAAAGGAATGGCCCTGTAACTGCGATCAAAACTTTACGACCAATGCGTATTGCCAGTAACCACATACGGCGCTCAAACTTGGACCTTCACAGGGCAAATGGTGAACAAGCTTAGAGAATCCCAAAGAAATATGGAAGGAAGAACATTAGGCGTTTCTCTGCGTTGCAAAAATCGAAACGAGTTAATTAGAAGCAAGTCTAAAATAACAGATATAACAGACCGGGCAGCACAACGTAAATGGGACTACTCGGGACATATCGCCCGAATAAAGGATAACAGGTAGAATGGAAGAGTGTTGCTATGGAGGCCATGGACCGGCAGAAGAGCGAGAGGAAGACCTATCACACGTGGGTACTGGTATCACGATACTTGCAGTTAATGTCTAACATTGTTAAGTGACTAGAAAACAGACATAATTTTTTTTTACTAAAAAACTACGAATGCTACAAGATTTTACAAAGAGCACAAAATTGTGAACAAATGATTAGTGCATCAACCTAAAAAAAATGAGTTGATTTCATCCTCCAACTAAAAAATGCTGGTAGTTTTTGTACCACGACACTCTGAAAACGGCTGAACTCGATTGTTTCATCAAAATACGAGTCTTACATAAGAACAAATTCACAGCGAGTTTCACTAAAATACATCGTACCATTCTCCCGGTATTTCGAAAAAGATAATTTTTTTGAAGAACTTTGACCATCAATAGCAGAGGAGCCAGATATTTTTTGTTAATAAAAAAATATCGCAGTACCTTCTTGATCATGAGCTTACGGGACACCCTGTATGTAGGTATTTTTGTTCTCTCATTTGTCGGAAAAACTCATCTTTATTAGTTGAATTATCATTTTCATTATCGTCTCAAAATTCGAAGAGCCGGCAGACTTTGAGAAACCAATAGTGGCAGCCAAATGGAAAAAGTTCCATTTGCTAGTCTACACAATATCAATTACATCAGGATGGTCGTCGATTTTTGAGACCACAACAATGTCCTACGTATTTCCAGCAGCCGAATGCGACTTGGACTTAAAGCTGGAGCACGAAGTCTTACTGAATGCTATTACTTATGCAGGTGCACATATTAACTGGCTGAAACAGTACAGAAGCGACTGAAAATGCAAATTTCTAGGCATGATCTCGACTGGATTCGTATGGGGCTATCTATGCGACACTTTAAGCAGGAAAAACCTTCTGTTAACTGGCTACTTGTTGGATACAAAGCAATGCATGAGGAGAATTTTCTAACAAAATAAATTTTATAATTTTTCGCTGAATAGGAATTGTCAGGAAAGAAGAAAAGCATCAGAAAATATTTTTTTTTACACTTATTGAACTTGTAGTTCCGTAATGGGTTTTTGAGAAAACCTTAATGATTTTCGAGAAAAAAACTAGAAAAAAAACCACATTTTTTTAACAAACTCTACAGTCTCCAGAGGGATGGGGGAGGCGAGTTTTCCAAATAATGTATAAAAAAATTAGCTGTTTTATTTTATAAAAACAATTATTTGATTTTGTTTGAAGCTGGAAACGGATTTGAAAACTTTTTGCAAACAGACGAAAAAGGCAAAATTTATTTGATAATTTTTCGCAGAAAACGCCACAAGATTGTCACTATTTTAACACTGGCGTTAAAATAAATGTTAAAACAATTAAGAAAAAAGTCATCAACATTTTACCAGCAACGGAACCGAGTTACTGCGCCGGTGCGTTGGGTTGGCGCACTAAGCCATTTGCGCCGCACTACGCCAACTTCTAAAAATTCACTGAGTTACCCAGGCCTAATGTAGCTGCAAATTTTATTTTTTTTATAAGAAAGTAAGAAAATAATTTTTATAAAAAATTATTTTCTTACTTCAGATACTTTATTTCGGGTTCTGAAAGGTCTTACTCTTGTTCTTCCTTCCCTCACAAGAATTGAAGATGATTTTCCTGACGTTTCTCTTTGAGAGCTGCAAAAATCGTTAATTGTAGAGTCGTGTAATCGTCGTACATCTGCGTCAAAGATTTCCAGAGGCCTGAGGTCTGAGGCAAGAAATTGCCTACAGAAAATATCGACAAATTTCGAACTTGCATTGAAAATTATTGAACTGCAGCTCTTACAAAATGGAAAAATTTGCGTCGACGTTCTTCCACGTTTTGGTTCGTCCCGTAGCTCAGTTGGATATGGCAATATCGTATCAGCTAAGTAAGAGATAGAATAGACGGTAAGTCAATTCAATGCCTCCTTGGGGGGGGGGGGGAGATTTTAAAAAGTCCAGTGCATACGTTAGCTCAAAACTCACCTAATTCATCAGATGAAACCAACTTGGAAGCAATAGACCGCATGGCTATGAACGAAGTCCCATTGAGGATTTCGACGATGGCGCCTAGAAAGGACAAGGACACATTATCAGGAAGTTGGTTGCTGAAGGCGAATCAAGCGAAACGTTTATCATGTTTACACGCTTTGCAAGAATGAATTAGCCGTGGCAATTGTCCAATCAACGCTTCCTTAAATTGACAAGGACGCTGGATAAAAAGAGCTACGGCCGTGACCAATCATGCTACTCAGTCCTCACCCAGATAAAATACCAGAGACGTCATCGCAAATCCATAGACGAAGCTGCTGAGGATTTTACTCATCGACGAGTAGATGCCGATGATGGCGTCGTCGATCTTCAGCAGGTGGCTAAACACGCCCACAGACACCGAAGTACCTGCAAACCAAGTCAATTAACAATTTCGATTAAAAAAAACATTCCCTGGCCTGAAGAACCAGCACCTATTAATAGCAATTAATGTTTTCAAGCACCGTTAATCGGCCGACCGCAATTCGTTTGAAAAGCAAACATTATATAATCTTCGGCAAGGTTGCGCGTGCAATGAAGCTATCCGCTAATTGTGACCTTTAACAGTCAGCAGAAGTGCACTGAACAGTTACCTATCAGATTGGTGAGCATGCTGTAGGTGGAGAAGATGCTGAAGTCCACTTCGTCCCAGTTGAAGCGGTAGCGGGTGAAGAGGTAGGCCACGTTCATCTCACCTGCAAAGACAACAGTTCTGGAGACTGGCAATCACTTAGCATTTTCTGGAAAGCCTTTTAAATGGTGTCGGGCAAATGCGCTGGAACGAAGACAAATGTGGCTAAAAAAGGTCTGTTTTGCTTTCAAAATTGCTCCAGGAAAACCCCATAGGAAGCTAGAAACAGCTCATTTTCGGGGTCAAAGAAAGTGCCTGAACAATTCACAAAAAAAAAACATGCATTTTTAATTAACAATTGACCAAACTGTGAAAGAAAAGAAATGAAAGAAAAAAAAAGCAAATGATAGTGTCCACTTAACATCTAAAAATAACTTCACTAAACATGGTGGGATTATCATTTGGAACTTTGCGTTGAAAAAAAGAACGAAATGCTGTTAAAGAAGAGCTTTTGGATGTTAGGATCTGCGTAAGAAATAGGCTTCAGAATTACGAATAAATTGCCGAAACTGCGAGAAAAACTACTACTTGAGGAACTACTTTGTTCAAACCATTAAAAAACGTCATCTATATTCCCCCAGCAACAGAAGTGAGTCCAAAGAAAGTCGACGCGTTTTCTTGTAAAATCACTCTCCTAATTTTTTGCATAAAAGATTCAGTTTGCCAGTATTTTACAGTAAAACGGTAGGAAAACGTGGTTTTTCTGTTTAGAGACTGTGTTGTTTAGAAATATTGGCCTAAAAATGAGGAAACCCCAGTTTCCAATAGTTTTCCAAATTAATGATGATAAACTTTCGCTTTTTCAGTTCGGGGAAATATTTTTGGAAAAAGACCCAGAATTAACTATTAGGGTTTGGTCCATAACTCGACGCTGCAAAAAGTTTTCCAAAAATGTTTGCAAAGCGGTTAAAGAGGCGAGTGTTCCAATAAAATGTATCTTACAATTTTTTACAGAAAATAACTGAAAATTGTCAGTATTTTAACTGAATAATAATGCGATTATTGCGTAGATAGAACTGCTTAATAGCAACTTTGTTAGAACTAGAATGACCTGAAAATTAAAAGAAACTTTAAATATTTTCAGAGCGATGTCGCCGGCGAATTTTCCCAACAATTCTTTGTAAACTTTTGCTACTAAAAATGTATCTTGTATATTTCGCGGAAAATGCCTCCAGATTGTCAGTATTTTTGAGTGAAACTATAACATAGAGCCTTTTTCAGTATAACGCACCGGCGCAACTCAGTTCCGTTGATGAATTTTTTACTTATTTTAGATTTATTTGAAAATTTAAATTAAAATAAAATTATTTGGTTTTTGTGCCAAATTCGAAGATAAAGAGGGTTTTCTAAAGTTCCCTGCAAACCGATGAATGAGGCGAATTTTTTACCAAAATTAATTTCGTCATTTTTTGCTGAAAAAACTCCATTTTTGTCAAAAAAGTAGAAAATCATCAGAAAATAATGTTTTTTGCGTTTCCGAATAAAAACTTTTAGTTTTGTGATTGGTTTTGAAGAAAACCTTAATGGTTTTTGTCTCGAATTCGAGCCTGAAAAAGTTTTTGTAAAATTTTTACCAAGCTTTAAATTTATCTTGTGATTTTCGCGCAAAAGACCTCCAGATGGTCAACCTAAAAAACAATTTTTTTTAACAAACTCGACAGTGTTCATAGGAATTGAAGTGACGAGATTTCCCAATAATCTGTTATAAACTTTCGCTTATTCTGTTCGTTTTTTAATAGAAAATGATTTGATTTCTGTTCCAAATTCGACGCTGAAAAGATAATTCAAAACTTTTTATAAAGTGATCAAGGATTCGAAATTTATTTCATAATTTTTCACGGAAAATACGTAAGTTTAGCAACAATTTTAAGTGAAACTTTAGAAAAGTGAGCATTTAGAATAAAGAGTAACTTAACTAAAACTGGAAAAATATTATTAATGGGCCTTAAAATAAATCGAAAACAAGTAAATAATAGTTATCAACATTTTCCCAGCAACGGAGCTACGGGGTTACTGCGCCGGTGTGTTGGGTTGGCGCACCAAGCCATTTGCGTAGCACTGAACCAACGCTTAAAAATTCGCTGAGTCACCAGGCCTACACTTCACATCTTCTGGAAACCCCCATAAACAGCGTCCGATTTTCATTCTGAAACCGGCGTTGGAGAGAGGCGAAATCGCGCTTAAATCCCGAATCTAAACTTTGCAAAACCGCAGCTCTGAACGAAAGAACGCGCCGCCTGAAGCCAGCCATCCATTTGCCGTCTCCCTAAGCCTAAGAAACTATCACTGACATAGATAATCGAACTTAAGGTGAACGGTTCTTTGGTGAGGTTACCGTTACCAACCGGAATCAGGCAACCAAGATGATGGTGTATCTAAAAACGTGCCATCCACCGTACAATGGCAAGAATTCCCAGAAAAAGCTGCCGACACTAATTGCATCCAATTCAATTACGAAGGTTGGAGTTGTTTTTTGCGTTTTCGCTTATAGTAACTCACCATGCATCGGCCCAATAACGACCATCACCACGAGCATCAGCAGCATGACCTTCATCTTGCGATTGTTCGGTCCCGACTTGAAGGCTACCCTGAAGGTGTTGAAGAGGTGGCGCACGTCGAAGAAGTCGCGCAAGAAGGCGCAAGGTCCCTCTTGCAGCACTGGCACGTCCACCTTCTTCGGCTCCTGAATCTTTGTGTAGCCGTAGTAGAGCGCCATCACGTACATGACTGAAGAGATGGAGAAGACGCCGTAGAAGCCAATTTTCTTGTAGAGCACCCCGCTTAGAGCCAACCCGACGGGAATGCCCAACGAGCAGAAGACGTTGACGATTCCAATGCGCAGCGTGCGGGTGTCTACAGTGGTTACGTCCGCAATGTAGCTGAAGACGCCCATGAACATAGTGAACCATCCGCCGGTCATTGCTTGAATTTTAGCCGGTTAGCTGGGAAAGAAGATGGTTTTTGGGAAGTTTTACCTGGAAAGAGCCCCTCGATGAATCCAGCTACTTCCATGGGCAGCTCGTAGTAGAAGTAGGTGCAGAACATGAGGCCGATAGAGGTGAGCAGCTCGCCCACAATGGGCAGCAGCATGCATGGCTTTCTTTTGCCCCAGCGGTCGCTCCAAGAGCCCACGAACATGATGAGGAAGGCCGGCAGCGCGCTCTGCAGGATGGTCTTCCAAACGCCCATCGAGGCCACCAGCTGCTGCACCTCTTGCTCCTCCACAGTGTAATTCGCTGCAACAATCAGGTTTCAGTGACATCCCTGTGTAGAAGAGTTGGGCACTTGTTTACCAGTCCTCCTTTCACTCAACGCGTCGCAGACCTCAGGCGAGTAGCCCAGGTTGACTCTACAGGCCTTCTCTAGGTTGAGGTTTTGAGTGGCTAGACTGGCGAAGACACTCGGGATGATGTAGCAGGCCAACATTGGCTCAACCGTGATGTTCTCGCGAAGAAACCGATACTTTTCCTTCCAGGTCATCGGCGGCTGCGCCCCATCCGGCTTCCCTACAGCCGATTCTTTAGCGGCTTTGGCCATTTGCTTCTTTTTCAACACCTAGAACAGTTCGATAAAGATTTGGGGCTTTTACCGCTGGCCTAAGATCGGCCCAGTGTGCAGTTATAAGCGCAAGGTCTTAACCAGCGATCCATTGTTTCAGCAACAATGATTTCGCTATCTCCAATGCCAGTAATCGATAACAGTAATTAGCCATTCGACATGCCAATCAGGTGAGGAAAAAGAGCGGGTTTATCGCCCAAAACAAAGGGATTTGTGGCGCAATGTTCGCATCTTTCTACGGTGTTTAAGCCAATGCGATCTTGAGCCCGACCGGACGAGTAAACGGCAATTATTGTTATTATCTAAGTCAAGGATTGCTGCAAACTGTGTTGTTTCTAATTCGGAAATAATTGCTTCCTCGTTGTCTTACCCGCAGTGAGTTGCCACTTTCCATTTGATTTGGCGCTAAAAAACACCAGCAGGATGTCGACTAAGAGATTGAAGGGTTGGACCTTGCAGTGGTTTTATTTGGTTTTGGAACAATTACATGTCAGTGCTGGTTGCAAAACACTTCGCACTGGCGGTGCAGAGTCGGGAGGTTGAAAACGCGAAACATTCGCCACAAGACGCAGTTCTCAAGCTGGAAATCGGATGAAAATTCAAGGAGTTATGCGCCATGGAGTGCAACCCGAACGACTTTTGGAAACCGTATTAGTGATTGTTGATTTTGGTACGAAGTATTGCGCTTGAAAGTGGCAAAATTTTGCATAAAAATGCTTTTCGGTTCGGAGGAAAATAGGCCAGTTATCACCAGAAGAACATGCGAGGTGGATTTAATATGACTTGGAAAGTTTTGAAGAACTCAAGGCTCAAGAGAGGTGCCTACAGAACTTCCTGTTGCAATTAATACTCGCTAATGGTAGTGCCTAAACATCTTCAGGAAACCCCATTAAACTCAGTTCGATTTTCCTTGTGAAAACTGTTTCCCAGGAAGAGAAAACTGGCAAAACTATGCACATGCAGGCGACCAAAACGCCAGAACCAAACCCGAAAAGCGAGAGTAGATACCCACCGAAAGCGAATGGTACGGCTTACCTAAGTGGAACACTTGCTCATGTCTCGATGCACCACACTTACTTTCGTTCGAGCGGTAGCACAACAAACCGGGTCGAAAATCGGTCCGTACTTGGTTTTTGCATAAAGTGGCGATGGTGCTGCAAAGCTGCGCCGCCCCCACCCATCGTACCATCAAACCGTGAAACTGTTAGATAATTTCGGAATTTTTCAATTACCTTTTAACATGGTACTATTGTTAGACGCAATTAGCCGGGTCGGGTTCCTCAATCCGTCACACTTACCACACTGGTCACTCCAGCCACTGCCCTGGCCTGCGTTTGCCTCATTGCGCTCCTAAGCTCCTAACTCACGCCGGTTCTTTCGGGTTTACCCTGCCGTTGCCCCATTCAACTCAACTGGACAGTTTATTTTTCAAGAAAACACTGCGCTGATTGGATGGTAATGGGGCCGCTGTTAAGGAGCCGATTATCTGTAATTGGCCGATGCGCGGAAACGCTCTCCGGGCCTCAATTTGGCTCAACTAATTCAGTTTGGGGCATTAGCGCACCTCAGGTTGAAGTAGGCCTGGGTAACACTGTGTTGAGTTGTTGACGCTCTCTGAGTTACCCAGTTATAACTCATTTGTGGTGTGAGATTTGAGTACTTTTGAATAATCGTACCGACTAGAAGTGTGAGAAACGGTTACTTTTTTGTAGTTTTTTTGTGGTATGTTCAAATCTAATCGCAAGTCTGAATTATCCCGATTGACACTGTACAGGGTGTTTCCTCAAAAGTTGACACTAAAGGTGTGATAAACCGTTATTTTTCTGTAACGGGTTACAACGCTCCAGTTTCACCTTGATAATAGATTTCGAAATGGGACTCCACAAGGAACATGTCACTTTTTAAATGTTTCATTAAAAATGCACAATGATGATGATAGTAGAAATAGTGATGATATACAGGGTGGTTTTTTTAAATCTTGAAACGTTTAAATATTTCGGAAACGAGTCATTCGAGGAAAAAATGTTTCAAATAAGAAGTTAATATTTGGGAAGGGGATGTTTATTCGTGTCAGAAAAACAACGCCTACTTCGGCCTTGTAGGCTAGGCAGGGGTCAACTTGAGAATTTCAAATGGTAACCACAACATTTTATTGGAGATTCGAATAGCACGTCAAAAACTGAGAATAATTTATCTTAAACATTTCCTTAGATTTTGACAGGTGGCGCTGTCATTATCAATTTTTTTGCTTTAGATCTGCTGAACTATTATTTTATTGAAACGCTTAAAATTTTAGTGTGACCAATAGCATCTATTAATGTCATAGGAATATTCGGTCCGAAAATTGTTGGATGATGAAAATCAAATATGTACCTCCAAATCAACAAAACATCTATTTCAGGTTCCAAAAAAAACCTTTAAGTCGGCAAATGGCTGCAGCTGGTGCGCAGTGCACACAACTTTTTCTTTTTTATGAGACCGTTTCAAAACAACGGTTGAAATCGGCAAACGGCTGCAGTTGGTGCGAAGTGCGCACCACTGTTTCGGTTTTATGAGACGGTTCCAAAAACAACCGGTTAAATCGGCTCACTGTAACTACGGTTTCAGGTTACACGTTTAGAACACTGTTATTTTAGCGGTTACGTTAAATACCGACCATCCCTAGTACTGACTAGTTGGATTCAATACTCGTTACTACGGATCAGTTGTCTAAGTACTCATTCTAGTCGAAAGTCTTACGAAAGTCGAGGACCGATATTGGTATTTTATTAGTGCTCTTCAGATTGTTACACGAACACTTTAGTCATACAAACCATGTCCAACCCTTTAATTTATTATTCCCGTAATAGATAGGTATATTTACGTCTAAGAGTAAAAAATGAGACCATTATGAAGTCAGTTGTTAACTGATTCCCTATTTTACTCTCTATTGTTATTGTAGATATTGTCCGCAGATATTTTGAACCCCCACGGTTGTCGATACTTGCAGTTTCTAAATAAATTGTCTTTTTGAAAAAATTTTTGAGAGCAAGTCATTTAACTCTGTGAAGCAAGATGCCACACACGAAAATAAGTTTTGGTACAGTAGTAATACAGTGCGACAAGTATCAATTTTAATAAACGCCTTTTTACAAATATGCAGTTTTAAAATAAGTTGCAATTATCATGTTAGATTTTATATTAAAAACGTAAATGTACAAATGTAATTGAAGTTTAACATGCGGCAACGTGCAACGCTGTTTTTAGTGTTTAGAATCGACCGACGTTGGAAATCAAACGCGGCTTTCGGTATCCACCCGTATCGGTGCGGGTCCGGGTACTGATTTTTTTAGCTGTGTGGGTCTCCAGCTAAGCTGTTTACCCACAAAAACCCTTTCCTCACCACCGAGGTGGTATTTGGCCTTGCACCGCGGTCACTTCTGTCCTATTGTGCCCTCGTATTTTACTCCCTCATTATCCCTGTGTATTCAATGAATTCCAGAAGTGTCTTGAGGGGGTACGCATGACCTGGTCTGGTAGAGCTTCATCCCCTCCCAGGAGTCTTAGTCTACCTGCTGCATATGACTTGCAGTGACACATGATATGTAGAGTAGTTTCGTCCTCTAATTCGCACCCCCTGCAGGTCGCTTGATGGCTCAGTCCCATCCTGAAGAGGTGTTTGTTGCAGGGGGCATGTCCTGTTAAAAAGACCACTATCCTCCTTATTTTTTGCATGCTGAGATGCCTGCTAGCAGTTCATTTTTACGCGCTGTTGTGGAGGTCTTACAAACTGCCTTGCGTTAAGGGGTCGCAGTGTCTCCTCTCAGTACTTTCTATGTTGTTCCAGATCCACTGCCCAACTTCCGCCCTAACCTGGGAAAGAGATATGCGACAAGCAGGTTCTTGGTTGGTCAGTGGTTGCTCGGCACCTGCCTTAGCAAGTTCCGCAGCAATCTTGTTTCCTTTGCTCCTGTTTGTCCCAGTTGCCCAAGTGAGTTTTGCTCTGTTTGAGCTCCCAGCGATGGTCCTAAGTAGTGCTGTATAGTTCGCAAACGAATTAATTCAAAAGATCGAATTAGAGAACTGAACTAGACGATCGAATCTTCTAAATTGAAAGAGCGAATCAGTAGGAACTTAACAGAACATGGCATTTCATCTCACTCTTGAAGGAGAACGAGGCCGATGACGCCGATTGAAGTGATTGAGTCAATAGCGCGTCTCTTTACTTCCACGCTGTTTCTTTCAGTTGCCGTTGCCGACTTTGCAGTTCATAGCTGGCGATGAAAATCGATGATCCTTGTTGTTCGTATAGTTCTCTCAGACATGTTCTTTCTTCGTTTATTTCATAAACAGACATAATAGCAACCGAAAATGCACGCGATTTAATTTAATTGATTAACTGATTTGGGCCCTGATTCTACAGGGTGATTCAAAATTGGCATCATTGCTTTTAAGGGGTGATAGAGGTTCACTTGGGGAGTACGAGAAAAATATTGAAATTTTTTTTTCCGAAAATTTCTAGAAGATATTAACAGTTGAAGATCAAATTTCAATTCAATTTTGTTATTAAGCATTATTTTGAAAGTGTTCCACGTTTAATTGGAACAATATTGGAATACTTAAGCATTCAAAAAGACAAATAACGATCTTTGCTTCAAATTACGAAAATTTTTGATATAAAAAAAGTTCTCTTCTACAATTTTTTGATAAAAATTCACAGCGGCAATTATGCTTTTTGTCATTAAGAAATAGTTACAGGTGGATACAAACTGTGACTTATTTTGAATTTCCTTTCACGAATTTGCTGATATGCGATTAGTTCAGGGGAAATGCTACAGTAAGACAGCAGATCTGAAAGAACTCAAGCCAACAAAGGGCGGGGAGAGTGGTTCCAGGAAGATAGTGGACGACAATCGATGTTCGGGTTCCAGACACAGAGGAACAAGTATTGGACATCATCGAATCAGGGCCTTCCAGGGGCACTCAGAGCACAATAACTGGAACTTTCCCAGGGACCAAATAAATACCGGCTACATTCCTACCACGTTTGCACGATACACACATCACAAGGAGATACAAATGGAACACAAGTTAATTAACTGAATACGAGAAGCTGCTTGATAAGAGTGGATAATAAGGAGATTACTCAGGCACTAGTTGAAGATCGAATTTCAACTTTGTTATTAACCATTATTTTGAAATAGTTCCATATTTAATTGGTAGCCTATTGGAATACTTAAGCATTCAAAAAGAAAAATTGCGAGCTTTGCTTCAAATTACGAACATTTTTTTAAATAAAAAAAGTTCTCTTCTACAATTTTTTGATGAAAAGGCACAGCGGCAATGATGTTTTTTGTCATTAGCAGATAGTTATAGCTAGATAGCCCTTGTCAGTAATAACAATAATTTGTCAAACTGTGACTTACTTTGAATTTCCTTTCACCAATTTGCTGATATGTGACTAGTTCTGGGGAAATGCCAGAGTAACATAGCAGAAGCTGTAAGAACTCACGCCAACAAAGGGCGGGGTGAGTGGTTCCAGGAAAATAGTGGACGATAGATGTTCGGGTTCCAGGCACAGAGGAACACGTATTGGACATAATCGAATCAGGGCCTTCCAGGGGCACTCAGAGCACAATAACTGACACTTTCCCAAGCACCAAATAAATACCGAGGAAGGGCTACATT